AGCAGGCTTTTCCGTCCCCCTTTTCCCAGAGGGTGCCTCTTGGTGCCCTTTACCAAGACCTGGCAACAGTGAAAGGAGCCAGCACTGGCCGTAAAAGACACCTGCAACACAATGTGTTGACTGAGCAGGCTGAGGCGGGGGAGCCAGGCCCTTCTGATAACCACCCACCTCAGCCCCCAGGACCCCCGGAGCTGTGCAGGGTGGGGCACCTGGCCTCAGGGGCTGCAGTGCTCTGCCCCCTCACCTTCTTGCAACCCTAACCTACGCCTGTCCTGGGCCTGCTCTATGTGTAAACTGGAGATTCAGCAAGGCCTCCCCGAAGCCCATTAAGCAGAGAGGAGTAAAGCCCTCGCTCCAGAGGTGGAGAGGAGCCCACAGCCCCTCTGATTTACAATCCTCAGTATTTCCTTCCCGGCATGAATAATTCATGCCCATGGCCAGGCGGCAGATCAATAATGCAGGAGGCAGAAGCCCTGGCGGCCCAACCTCCATCTGACCAGCATTGTCCCACACTGGCAAGCCTCTGAAATTCTGTTGTCCTCATGGCACCTGTCTGGGGGCAGGCACTGCAAACCTACCCAGGGAAGGGACATAGTTATTATAAGTTCTGTTACCCCTGTGCCAGCAAACAGAAACGCATGGACCTGTACCTGCTCTAGGACTAGGGTACAAGAGACATCTAAGCTCCTCAGAGTCCCTTCCTCTGCTCTGCCTTCAGGGCCTAGAGTGTGGGAGGGATGGACACCCTGGAGGACCAGGTCAGGGTGTTGATTTGGGTTGTGAGGGCAACTTCCCATCCAAGAAGCTTGTCCTTCTTCTAGCCCTGACCAGAATCCAGCAGGTCCACAGTGGGAAGCCAGACTGAGCATGGAGTCGGGGGAGGGGCCCTTGCTTCTTGGGAATTGTGCTTTTGGGGCACACCTACCCTGACAGTCCCACCACTCTTCACACCCCACACACAGGCCACCTTCACCACCGAGCCTCTCTGGCAAATGCTCTGGGAAGTGGAGTACAGATCTGGGAGAAACTTCCCAAACTCATCTGGGATTTCTCTCTCTGTCCTTCTCTTTGCACCTCAGTATTGCTTAGTTTTTCTCAGTTTGTTACAGTAGATGCTGGTGTTGTGGCAATTTCCCAGAGAAAGCAGGTGGCCCTCAGAGGTGTCCAGAGACTTCCATTTGCACACCAGCGAGCTCCGTGGGCTCGGTCCCAAAAGCCTGAGCCTGAATTACAGGAGTGGTCGGGTTTTATACCGGTTGTGTGAGGAAACTTGCCGTCCCATCCATCATAACATCAGCATTCTTTATCGTTTGGGAAGGGGCTCAAGGTGGCCAGAGCTGCTTCTGTAGACAGACAGTACAGTACACCCTGCAGCTTCTCCGCCCCAGCAAGCAACAGAATCCAAGCAGCAGACTCCTCATGCAGCAGGCCTGGGAACGTAGCAGAATCTAAGCAGATTTGGGAAACTCCCTGCTTCACTAGCCAGTTGTTTTTAGATGGTTTTTAGATGGTTGTTGTTGGGAGTGACCAAATGCAGAGATTTACTGAGGGACCGGGTAAGGGGAGTAATAAATCAGGTCTTGCATCCCAAGGTGATAAGGCGGTAATAAATTGGGGGCCTTGCATCCAATTGGGGGTCTTGCATCGGAGATGGGACTAGATGAAGATGATAACGAACTGGGCCATACATCAAGGGACGTAGCGATTAATCACCTCTTTGGAATTCGAGTTTTAAACCGATATATGAGACCCTTCCCCCCAGGAGGGTGGCAGTAGCTGCGGACCCTACTTTGGGCTCTGTCTCAGCTGCTGACAAAGAGCAATAAATTGTTTGCTCAGCCTCTCTGCCTTTCGTCTGTCTTTTCTGCAGCCGGTCACAGAATTCGGGACAAAACAGTTGTTTTTAGAGAGCCCCAAAGCTGGCCCTCTCCCACGTTAGGCATCTCTTCCAGGCTTCCCCACCATTGATAGCATATGAACCACCTGGGGGTCATGTTAAAGGGTGGCTATTCTGAGTCCTTGGGTCAGGGTGTGGCCTGAGGCCTTGAAAACACCCCTTCAACCCAGGCTAATGGTCCACAAGCCTAGCCCAGTGACTCCCAACCTCAAATGGCCATTGGGATCATCTGGAAAGCTTTTAAAACTCCTACTCTCAGGCCACGCCCCAGAACACTTAAACCAGATTCTCTGGGAGTGGCAGCCAGGCATCAACGTGTTTTAAAACTCTCAAATGATTCCACTACGCAGCCAGTGAGAAGCCCACTCTAGACCAGCTCAGCTCACTCGTTCTTACCCGAAGAGACTGATGCCCGGAGAAGGCTCGGCCTGCCCGAGATGACGTGACCAAAGAGGGAAAGGCTTGGGGCGTAGGCCAGAGATCTTTCCTGGGCACATGATATTGGTCCCTGTCCGAGAGGAAAGAGCAGCTAGGGCTAGGGATAGAGGAGAGCTCAAGGGTCAGCCTGGGGGCCCCAGAACCCTCCCAGATTTGGGGGTCTTCTTTAGGTGAAATCTAGGCTGTACCCTAGGAAATTGTTAATGACGCCCCCTTGTGTAACCAGTCCCCAGAGCTCACCAGGACCTGCCACTGGGCTTCCACCCACCCTGTGGGGGTGCAGTGCAGCTTATCATCCACTTGCAAGTGAGAAGTTGAGGTTCAGGGGGCCAGCTCCCCTGTTCAGTGGCACAGCCACCTGCCATTTGAAGCCTTGGTATCATGGAAGATCCAACTTTTCGCTATCTGATACTAAATCCCTGTTCCCTTCTTTTATTCCCCATTTCAAACTTTCTAAGATTGGGGCATGATGTCAGAAAAATGGAGCCAAAGAAACCAAGTTGGGCTGATAAAGGGGTGTGACTGCAGCCAGGGGTAGATCAGGATCCACACAGACACGAGCAGCTGCAGAGAAACATGCCGTCTTGTGTGGCTGCAGTAAGGGGTATGGAAATGGCTAGCTCGCAGGTAGGAAGCAGAGAGGCCCCTGTTGACAAGATTGTCCTGCTCACGCGTTCTGACTGTATGACCTTGGGTAAGTTACTGGCGCTCTCTAGGCTCCATTTCTTCTCAGGAAAATGGGATGACACACCTCATGAGGGTGTTAGGTAGGAGTGAGGATTAAATGGTATAATTTGTGCAAAGCATGAAGCCAAGCACCTGGCATATGGGGAGCCCTCCCCATACCCCCAGCCTGCTTTTGGACTTCCCAGCTTGCAGAACTGCAAGGAATAGTTTTCTGTTGTTCCTAAGCCCTCCGGTCTAAGGTATTTTGCTAAAGCAGTTCCAGTGTTCTAAGGCACACGCCCTCACAGTCGCATGCTCTGCTGGCCACCCCACTCAATGGCAGCAAGGCCTGCTCACGTTCAGCCTGACTGCCCCTGGCTGGCCCTGGGCCTGCACACAGAGGGTGTTGTGTTGAATCACAAAACCAGACAGATCTGCAAACTGTGGCTTCTGGACTGTTCAGGGGATGTGTGGGAGGCCAGCCTGGTGACCCACCTATCCAGCCCTTGCAGGCTAAGCCAAAGCCACAGGGGTCAGAATCAGCATAGGGGGCTTTCTTGGTGGCGCAAGGGGTGAAGTCTCAGCACTATGAAGCTGTCATAGCCACTGCAGCACAAGTCCTATCCCTGGCCAGGGAGGTGACCCAAAGGCGCAGCAGACTCCCCCTGTCTCCCCCAGCGGCGCCCTCAGCAGTGTGTTTCAGTCCATCTGCCTGTTCTGCTCCCCACTCCGTCTCTGGAGAATCCTCTCACCCACCCACCCACACATACACCCCTCTGGCCTACACTCCAGCTGTTGGATGCATAAATAAAATAAATCTTTAAAAAAAAAAAAGACTCAGGGCCCGAGCAGTGGAGGCACACTACCCTAGCAGGGCAGCTGTGCATTCATTTTCCCACAAAGCCCTTGGAGTGTGGAAGCCACACACCCCTGCGTGCGGGGTCTCGTCCTCGTGACTGCTGAGCCAGGCAGACCAGCCATAGGGAGAGAACGGGGGAGCAGAACGTAGTCCCCAGAACTTTGTAGCTTCCGCGCTGTTTCGCCCTGAGGCTCACTGCTGCTGGGGCCTGCAGCCCAAGTTGCGGGCTGGGGTCTCCACACGGGTCACCTCATCGATGCTCACGTTTACAGATGGCGAGGTGCGGAGCACAGAGAGCTTAAGCAACTTCCCCAAGGGAACTCAGCTAATAAATGGTCGGGCTAGGCTGGCCCCGATTCCTGCACCCTGTTCCACTCCTGTGACCTCCCTTGGATCCCCGTGTCCCCACCCCACCAGCCGCGCCCCTCCCTCCTCCTCTTCAGCCTCTTCACTCTGTGTCAGCTGCTCTTTGTGGCTAGCTGGCAGCCCTTCCCTTCCTGCTGTTTGCCCGGCTTAGGCTCTACCACGCCCAAGACTTCCCTTGGCCTGCCCCCCTGAAGCCTTGCATCTCCCATCGGGGCCCCTTGCCTCCCAGCTTAGTCCTGCAGTCCGGGCAGGGACATCCCCTCCCACTGTGACGGGCCTCCTCGCTCTTGCCTACTTCTCACATCTCCCACAGACCTTTAGTCTCCGAAAGGCAAAGCACAGCAGCAGAAAGTCCGCTCTGATTCAGACAGACCCCGGGAAGGCTCAGCTCACCATTATTTAGTATCTTCCTTGGGCCAGGCGTGGCCTGGGACAAGACGCTGTACCCCTCAGAGTCTCAGTTCCCTGGTCTGGAGCCTGGGATAAGGCCTGTATCCCCCAGGGGTATTTACCAACACATGTGAGATGCCCTGCTGTGTCCTGCTTCTTCTTTCCACACCCGAGGTCCTTGTTCATCTGCAGAAAGAACAACTGAGGCGAGATGGGGCTGGCTTTCCTGGAGAAACTAAGGCCCTGAGAGGACAAATGACTTGCCCAGGGGAATGCCTCAACTGGCCCGGGATCCCTCGGTGCCAGCGCCAGTCTTGAGGGCACTGCCCCCATTCGTTGTCTGGAGCCACCTAACCGTAGCAGTACAAACTCACGGGCCCACGGTTGAGCATGTAGTTCAGCTTTATTTCTTTCCATGCAGAGAAACAGGGGTGAAATGGTGCATGTGGGGCTGGTCGTGCTGAGGGAATAGTTCTTGCTGCTCCCCATGGTGGGGACGGGGTGGGTCAGTGTCTTGAGCCAGGGAACTGCTGTGTTTATGTAGCCAGTGGAGAGGGAACTGGGTTGGGGGCACTGTCCTTACCAGAGTCGCCAAGGCCTGGCTGCCTGGGGGGCTGCCTGTGCGTGGGAGCTGCAAGGGTCCCGCCCTCTCAGTCCTGTAATTGAAGGGTGTCTCGTCCTCAGGCCGTGGGATCCTGTCTGCCAGAGGGGTTGGCCTCTGGGGGCCTCTGACCCAGTCCTTGGTAGACCAGAGGACTCTCCATTTGGTCTTGCCTGAATGGAAAAAGGGCCCAGCTGCGCCTTTTCCTGCAGCTGTCTGCTGGTGGCTTCTCTTGAACCAGTGTGTACGTGTGGGAGTGGGTACACAGTGCTGTGCATTTGTGTGGGGGTGGCTGTGGGGGCCAGGCAGACAAGAGATGTCCCCAGTGTGCACAGAGACCACAGTCCGGTCCCACATCTGTCGTCATTTTCCCCTGGATACTCTGCCCAAATCAGCTGCTTTGCTGCTCTCTGGGGAGCCCTGGGTCTGCTGGGAAACCGCCAACTCATGACCCCTCTGTCCAGGACAGCAGGTTCCACAGCTCTGATATCTTCCTAGTCTGATCTGACCCCAAAGTGTCCCAGAAACTCCAGGCACAGCCCCTCCCTCCCTACAGGGGTGTCTGTATTTTGACCTCAAAGGTCCTATAAAACAAACCCAAATGGCCAGCTCTTGGGGTCGGGAGAGGTTGGAGTTTGCCTCTCCCCAGGGTCGCTTAATGCAGGGGTACCTACCCCTGGGAAGTGGGATCTTCCCAGAAGCCCTGGTCCCTGCCCTGCTCCCTCAAATTAGGCCCCCGTAGAACATCTGAGTTACTCTCAAGACTCAAGGCGCCTCCTGATGTTCAACCTCTGTGCTCATAGGCCCCCTCCCTGGAGCCCCTGAGCACCACAGGGAGATAGGCAAGGTCCTGGAGAGGAGGCACGAGAGTTCTAAAGGGAATATCCATTGCCAGTCTGTGCCAATCTGGCTGTGGCCAAGAACCTTCTCTCCATTCCCCACTCCCACAAGCACAGTAACCCTGACTGCCGGACAGGGCCTCTGCTGGGAAAGCCTGGAGTACCCCTTGCTGGGGGGTGGAAGGCAAAAGCTAGCAGGGGAGGAGAGTACAAGAGACGCCACAGTGAGCAGTGGGCTGAGGAGAAAGATCTGTGGAGAATCCCTGGGCCAAACCGAGGCAGGGGGTCAAGGGGCAGGACTTGGCTCCTCTCAGTTTTCAGTAGACCTCGAAGCCAGCCACGGTATCCAGCCCCTGCCTTCAGCATTCAAATGTTTTCTTCAACTGGGGTCCCTCGCTCTCCTGAAGTCCTGACTGTCCAGCCAAACTCTTCCTTCTGTCTTGGAACGCTCTGGGCCCAATAAACAATAAACCTTCATAAAAATTTTTCAGCCCACCCCATTGCTAGAAGCACAAACACTGCTAGCAGCCACCTCCCAGGGGGGTTCCAAAGTCTCCTCCAGGGAAAACATGTGTTATTTGTGGAAGACCAAGCTCACAGGGTGAGGCACAGGCCAGCAGAGGTGACTGCACAGGGAGCCAGGAGCCCAGGCCCCACCCGCGCCACTGTGCAAGGAGACCCTGAGCCGCTGGGCATGGGCCCTGGCCACTGTGCACGGGCCCGAGTTTGCACCCCAAGCTATAAGGAGGCCATGGCAGGAAGAGCCTGCAGCCTGGTCTCCTCACAGGCTGACCCCAGGGGCTCGGTCAGGTCCCCAAGTTCATGGCACCCCAGGCTGTAGCAGGTAGGAGCAAGAGGCCTGGATCCCCGGGAGACCAGGTTCTCAGCAGAGATGCCCCAGGGCTGAGAGCTTGGGAGGGGCCACGGTGTGTGTCTCCCTGTTCCGTCCTCACCCGTGCTCCTGCGCTGCCTCCGTCCTGACGGGGAGGACCTGGCAGGTGCTGGTCCTCTGTGCCCGGGGGCCTCCGGGGAATAGCTGAGCAGCAGCTGGGCCTCCGGCTCCGGCACTGGCTGGGGCTGCAGCAGGCGGTGGCACAAGCAGGCGTGTACGAAAGATGAGGTCCTACAGCTCTGCTCCCCGTTATCAGCCACACCGGGGGCGTGTGGCTACTTCTCTCCCCACCAGAGTCCGTCATGTTTGTGGGGCTGGTTTCTTCTCTTTCTGGCTGTATATGCTGCTTGGTTAGTCCCAGGAGATTGTGGGATTGAGAAACAAGCCAGAACACTGGGGTCAAAATACCAGGATGTGTCCATTGCTCAGTGGTTTCACAGTCAAGTTGCCTTTTCTTTCCTTCTTTCTTGCCTTCCCTCCTCCTTTTCTTCCTTCTTTCCTTCCCCTAGCTTTTCCCGTCTGCTGTGGGCTGACAGTGGAGTGACTTGAGGGGGGCCCCCCTCTGAGTCTGTGCTTTTGCAGCTCGGGGACAGGTGGGCCCGTAGCAGTTACCATCCGATCCTCCCATGGAATGAGGGGTGGGAGCACCCCTCCAATGGGCCAGGGACTGCTCCGTGGGCCCAGCGCCCTGTAGTTTTATTTCTTCTGAACTGTAAAGAAAATAACAGTTAGGGTAGAACAGAACTCAGAACTCAGACCGTGGGTCTTCATGCCCCTGTTTTGAGCTGTGGGCTTTTGTTTGCTAGTGGGAAGTGTGAACAGGGATCATTGGTTTGGGGCTCTTGGTAGAACTGACCCCTACTAATGAGAAGAGGACTGTGGCGAAGAGCCCAGAGACAGACATGAGATCTCTGACACAGGACCAGCTAGACTAGAATTATCTAGTGAAAGCTAAACAACCCCTTCGCCAGTGTGTGCTCACAAGAAGTCACAGAGTCACAGCAACAGCAGCAGCAGGACTTCCCAGCAACACACCTCAGAAGGTGATGCAGGTGACACAGGTGAACACCTGGGCTGGCAGGTTTCTGACTCTGCTGGACCTCAGTGCCCATCAGGCACAGAGATTCCATTCAGATGAGTAGGAAGTAGAGGATTGAAACTTGAGCTCAGGCAGGCTGACCGCGAGCCCCAATTCTTCCCTCTCCCAAGTGGCCAAGGCTGCCCACAGCCCCATGGCCAGATGCCAGTGTCCCTGCCTAAGTCTAACACCCACACTCCGGGCCAGTGCTGGCAAAAGTTAATGCTTAGGTTGGGAATCTTAGTAAAATGCAGATTCTGCCTCAGTGTGGCTGGGCCAGGGCCTGAGAGTCCACATTTCTGATAACTTCCCATTCTCAGTGGCCACTGTTGCCAGTCCATCAGGCAATGGGCAGTTTGAGGTCTTTAGCTTAGGGTGATGGCTGAAGAGCTGCCAGAGTGTGAAGACAGGGAAGCAGACAGCACTGACCTGCAGAGCCCAGAAACCCACAAACAGAGGGAGCTTGGTGAGCTGCTGAGTCACCTTTGAAAATGGTCCCCCTGCTTGGATAACATCACTGGGTCACCTTTGGGTGCACACAGAAGTGTCCCTTCCTGACCCCTAGCCCCAACGTTGCCTACTCTGCTCTGGGCTGGCTGTCTCAGCAAGAACGTTTGTGCTGAAAACCCACAATTTACAAAGTGGAGTCCAGTGATGGTCCCAGAAGCCTCTGTGTTGGGGGATTCTTCCTACAGCTCCAGAAATGACACCCCCCAGGCTCAATCAGACACACAGACACTGGCCCAGGAGCGGGGGCCATCAGAGCTGAGACAGATGACCTCTGACCCCTGACCCAGATTCTTCCTACCCCATGTCCCATGGCTGAACTCCAGGCAAAAGACAGTTCAGACAGCCAGTACCACCCAGCTGGTCACTGCGGGAACTGGGTAGCTTTTCTGGAGTGACATAAAGCTTTGACACAGACATAGGCTTTGATACCCCACCCCACCCCCCACATGCTTTCACCTCCTCTCTCGTCCTGCCCCCCCCCCCAGAGGGCTGGACTACCTTCTCCCCGCCACTCCCGCTCCCACCATCCCCCGGCCTTCACACCAGCAACAGGCTCCTTCACTCCCTGTGCCAGGACCTCACCTGCAATGTTGACAGTCACAGCCACCACGATGATGATGATCCCCATGACGATGAAGGTGATACTGAGCAGCCGGGCCAGGCGGCCCAGCCTCCGGGCCCCATCCAGGTCCCCTTGCTGCACACTGCTCCGAGACTGTGGAGAGAGGGGCAGAGACCTCAGCAAGCCCTCAGTAACTCTGCAGGGTGCTGCTTGCCTGGGCCTCCAGAACACCCCAAGCTCCATGGCACCCCAGACTTCAGCAGCCCCACTTCCCTGGGGGAGAGGATTCCTCCTGGAGAATTAGCCTGGGTTCCTCCTGGAGAATTAGCCTGGGCTCAAATGATCCAGATTGAAGTAGAGGATTGAAACTTGAACTCAGGCAGGGTCCAGACCTCTTGGACCCCCAACCAAGCCTGTCCCTCCCTGGGGGGGGGGGCAGATGGAAGCAGAGCCAAGCAGTGCATGCCATTTCCTCTCAGGAAGAGGCAGGCTGGTGCAGTGGCGATGGAGGGCTGGGAGGGTGAGCCCGGCCCTGGTCGCACCAAGCTAGTGGGTTTGGATAAGCCAGGTTCCGGGGAGCCAGCCTGAGGCAGACTGGGGGGCTTTCCCTCCAGCCCAGCCAGCCATCCTCCTGTCTTGTGACCCATCTCTGGCCATCTTAAAATCTGCTGGTACTCCCTCCTGCCACAAGCCCCATCCTGTCCAACCAGAAAGGGAGGCATCTTGGGTTTAACCAGGAAGGCTGGGATGAGATGGAGCCCCGCACAGGGACCACTTGGTGTCTCACTCCTGCTCGGGGGAGTTTGGTTTTTTTTTGGCCCCATTTAATTTGATGAGATCAGGGCACATGAGCATAGAGTTGTATAGTTTAAAGACAAAGAGGAGGGGCCCTAGGTTACTGAGTGGGAGGTGTGTCCTCTCTAATAATGAATTTTCTGAAAAAGATATGGATCCCATTTACAACCACATCAAGATAATAAATACTTAAGAATAAATTGAACTAAGGAGGTGAAAGACTGTTTCTGTAGCTTCTAAAAACTACAAGACACTGGTAAAAGGGGCTGTGTTTCTGTGAGGCCCCTTCCCCAAGCCCCTACTCTCAAGGACCTCAGGCCTAGTTGGTTTTCTGGATTGCCTGAGGCTCCTGGCTTCGACACAGAGCTGTAGTCAAGCACCTTGGTGAGAAGGTCACTCTTCCCTTTCTGGTCTCCTCTTTGCTTTCGGAATTCTGAGCGACCCTCCACCCAACCTGGTGGGTGCCTGTTCCAGAAAACCATGAAGTCGAAATCGCTTTGTCCTGAACTCTTGTTCTTGCTTCTCAGATCTGTTCCGCCTTGAGCTCCTTGTTCTATTTGCTCACACACAAGGCAAGGCAACAGCCCAGAGTCCTCCCCTTTGGTGACCACTCCTCTTCGTGCCCCCTAGGAATTCACGTCCTCCCCTAGTCAATTCCACCGGACTCTCTTCTCTCTAGCTCCTGGCATCTGCACGCATTCCTTACTATTTCTTACTGAAGCCATGACAGCAGCTTCCTGAATATCCCCCACCCCCACTCCAAGCTCTGTTCTCCATTCTCCTCCCTTTAAGGCCATCTCACTCCATGTACTCAGCCCCCAGGCTGCAGGAGTGTGCTACAGAGTCCAGTTCCTCTGCTACAGAGCTGACAGCCTGGGGAGGGAGGCTGGTCTCCATCGTGGTGACACAAGAGTAAAATTGCATCTGCGGGTACCAAGTTACAAACAAGAGGCACCTGTTACCATGAGAGCTTAACTTATAAAAGGGGAGAGTTGGGGAACAGTCCCTGAAGTAAGAACAGATGGGTTGAAATGTGGAAAATGAATAAGAATTAAATAGGGTGTTGTTGTTGTTGTTGTTTTTCAAAAGAAAGAAAATATTCCAAGCAGAGAGATCAGTAGGTATAAAGATTCAGAGGGATGTCCTGCGTGCTAAATACATACATCTCCCCTAAGTCACTGATGACTGAAGGGCAAAGGCTGGTGGGGATGGAGTTGAGAGGATGAGGACGAGGTGGCTATAGAAGTGGGTAGGGGGTCCCTGGTGGTGCAAGGGTTAAGAGGCAGCATAATGAAGCTGTCTTCAGCCACTGCTCTGCCAGTTCAATCCCCAGCCGGGGAGGTGACCCACATGGCACAGCAGATCTCTCCTGTCCCACCCGCTGGTTCCCCTCAGCAGTGTATTTCAATCAGTCCTCTTGCTCTGCTCCCCACATTGCCTCTGGTGAACCCTCTCAATCCCCACATCTCTGGCCTACACCCCAGCTGTTGTATGCATAAATAAATACATCTTTTAAAAAATTGGGGTCCCTCCCTGGTGGTGCAACGGGTTAAAGCACAGCAGTAAGAAGCTAAAGCCACTTCAGCATGAGTCTGATCCCTGCCCCGGAGGTGATGCACACTGTGAGGCAGACCTCTCCTGACCCGCCCGCTGCTCCCCTCAGCAGTGTACTTTGTCAGTCGGCTTGTTCTGCTCCCCTCTCTGTCTCTGGTGAATCTTCTCACCATCCCTGCACCTCTTGCCTGTACCCCAGTTCTGTGTGCATAAATAAATAAATCTTTTTAAAAATTAGGTAGGGCCAGGCAGGCAGGGCTCTGCCCACCAGAAGATTGGTCCTTACCCCAGAAGTAACAGGAGCTAGTATGTGAGGCTGGGGGATGGGAAGCAATCCAAACCCTCTCCATCCTTCAAGGGATGCTGTTAAGGCCACCTCCTCCATGAAGTCCACCATGATTGCTCTACTTTCACTAGAGTAATAATAATCCCTACCATTATTTGAACATTTACCTTGTGTCAGGAAGTATGTTAAGTGCTTGCCATCCATTAGAGCATTTTGTCCCCCTGCTACTTCTATGAGGCAGGAATTGTTACTAGCCATTTTCTAGATGAAGCTGGAGTATAGAGTTCCATGCATATATAGTAAGAGAACTTACTGGAGAAATGGGGGAAAGAAAGATCAAGAAGGGTCCCAACTGTCATTAAAGGGATCTGGATTTGGTCCTGTAGGCATTGAAGAACTAATGAAGGCTTGTAAGTGGGGTCATAATCAGATTTGCATTTTGGGAATGATCTCTCTGGCTACAGTGTGGATCAGAGAACTGGGCAGTTGGAAAACGACAGATTCAAGACTAGAACTAAGTAGGTGGTTGAGAAAGGACCTCAGATTTGAGAAGTTATGAAGAGAGTATCTACATACTCTAATCAGATCAAAGAGTGTGTGGGAGAGGATGTGACTGGGGTGACCCCCCAGGTTTCTGGCATAGACAGTGGACGTCCCTATCCTCAAGTGGGAGGGAGAGAGCCCCTGGTCACTGGGCTTGCTCAGGCAGCAGTGGCTGAACGCTGTGAATACATTTAGCTAAACAGGTCGGGGGACGCAGGAGTCATCAGCCTATGGATGGCACCTGGATCCCGGGTTGCAGATGAGGTCACTTACGGAGATTGCAGCTGGAGGAAGAGGGTGACATCCACCTGTGAAGGTAGAAGCATGGGCTGGGGAAAGAAACCTACAGGGGAGACAGCGGGGAGAGAATCATCCTACAAGTCCAAGATGGAAAATTGCCAAGAAGGAAGGAGCAGCCGATGTCTCTTGCATGGCGGTACAGCCCTGATGACCTCTAGTAGTGACAGTGAGAGGAGATGGACCGACAGGATAAGGGAGTTTCAGCAGAGTGAGGGGGACAGAAATCAGAATGGAGGGTTATGAAGAACAAGGAGGAGAGGAAGTAAAGGGACAAGTGGAGATAGCTCTTAGAAGCTCTGCTACGGAGGGAGGAGAGTGATGGAAGAGGAGCCGTCTGGATGAGACAAATAGAGGATTTCTTCAAGACAGGGGAGAAAAGCTCCTTCAAAGAAGAAGGGAGTGATAGACGGGGGAGTGACAGGTGTGCTGTCCCCTGGCAGCAGAGAGGCTGAGGTCCACACTTGAGCACAGAGATGAACAAAAGGGGAGGGCCCCCTTGTCTTGGGAGGCTAGACAAAGTGGGTGCAGGTGGGGTCCCTCCTAAATAGGTCTGGCCAGGAATTTGTGGGCGTTCATGCTTCTAGGCTTCAAGATTCACAGTGACCATGGACCATGTGAGAGAGGACAGGGAAGTGGGTCTGGTTTGAGGAACGGCTACAGGTACAGCTCAGGCCACAGCCCACCCTGAGAGACAAGCCCTCCTGGACATGGCCGGAACCCAGCTCCAGCTCCTGAGAAAATGTCTGGGCAGGAGAACCGATGGGAGCCAGGCCTGGATGTCTGTCCCATCAACTGAGGGGCCTTGGGCAAGTGGCTTCCCTCTTTCATGCCTTAGTTTTCTCATCTGTAAAAACAGAAACTACTTCATCGGCGGGTGGTGTGGATTGGATGAGATGATACAACTAGGGGGCTTAGCATGGAGCCTGGCATTCACAAGTGCTCGATAAATAGTACAATGTAGTATTTGTGTGGATATGGGAAATTCTCTTCCCTCTGTTGAGTTGGTGAAGGACAAAGAATCATAGCCATCAACTCCAGCAGAAAAGGGAGAACCTATTCTGGGAGGAAAGCCTATTTGGCAGGTCTTGGTGAAATTCCTAATAGTACCCCTCTCTCACTTCCAGGAATGTCCAAGTTAGGATGTGAATTATATGACTGTTGTCTGTCCAGGAATCTACCATTCTTCCTTTTTCTCTTTCTTTCTTGCTCATGCTTCTGTTCCACCCACCTCAGTTGTGACCTGTAGAATGGGGGGGGGGGCCATGGGAGGGCTCTGCCTGGTAGCTGTCCCAGATGGAGCACAGTACCTCACCCTCCTGTCACCCCCGGCCTCACCAATGAGCAGCCTCCTTGTCTTGACAGGTGCATCACAAAGGGATGCAAAGGCTCAATACAGCGATTTTTCCTATAAATTCTGTTCCCAGGAAGGAATTCTAACATCCCCCTCCCAGGAAGTCCCAGGTATGACCTGACCATCCAGCCCTCAAATGTGTCTATCCTCTCAAGTTTATCTCTGCTTCTTCAGCTACTTCTCTACTCCATTGCCCTAGCACACTCCCTAGTTAATGTCTTGCCTGAAAATTGCATCAGCCTCCTCCTCACTGCTTTCTGCTCTGAAATTGTCCATCCAATCTCTTTCTTAACTTTAAATCCAAAGCTGGCCACAAAGCTCCCC